GGTAGTAATTGGCTTCGGTCGTCCGCGTAAGGAAGTGAATCACGTCAAGATGGTTCGATAAATCGGTCACCATACTCAAGCGTGAATGTTGGAATGAATCCTTGCATGAGTGCGTTCAGTTTAGGCCCTCAGTAGCTTAATGAGTAAATCCCGTCGAATAGCACCGATTTCAAATGAGCCAAATGTAATTGCCGAAATAGTTCTGGCAGTTACAGGCACACTTGAAAAGACACTTAAGGATACAGTGAAGGAATATATATATATTAATTTGAACTTATTCACCAGCTCACAGAAATTACACTTTTCTCTGTGATTCCCGAATTGGCAAATGTATTCTATCCATAATGACATTGGCAACAACCGGTCACCTACAGCTTCTCTGTTTGCAACTCAGATTAGTCGCATAGGTTCTTATCCTGCTTATATCATCTCTCCTTCTCGTCGCATCTTTTCACATACTGATTAGATCTGTACGATCCTTACAACTCGGCGAGACATGTGGAAGGAATAAAGCACATTTATCCAAGGTTCAACTGATCGCAGTTGCTCGGACATTGACGATAGTTCAATCACCAAGGCAACTACCACCCAGGGATGAGTTCAGTGATTACAGTATACTCCGAGCGATGCACTTTTCATTAGGTGCAGCATGGGCCTATTTGAATAGCAACATTTGTTGGGCTGCCTGGGTTGGAGTTATTACGATGAATTTTGGTGAATGGGCTTATTTTCATCAATGGACTAGCAACCATAACCAAGTATGCCTTAATTGTGTCTCGTCCACTCTCCTTGCTCAGCCAGTAGAATTGAGCGAAACAGAACGCAGTCAATCGGTTTCCGAAATAGAGAAAATCTATAGCTGAATAGAGGCTATCCATAAATTGTACAAGCGAGAATGGCTTGTTTGGAAACCACTGTTGGTGTTACCAAGTCTCAACTCACGAAGGATCACTGTCAGCATGCATCTAATCCTGTTTGTATACATTAACCGGTAGCTATAAAAATGCCTGATTTTTAAATAGATTTGATAGTTAGTTCATTGTTTCAATCACTGAAAGGTTTGTGAGTGGGAGATATAAGTGAGAAGGTTCTACAACTGTTGAATTCAGTATACGGAGTACTTCAGAAATTTCGTAGAATTTTGAGGACCTTTACACTGACAGTAGGCTGGTTTTACACTTGACACTTCTGGATAATTTCATACAGACGCAGGCCCTAGGTAGGCAGTTTTCTAGGGAACGGGGTGATTAAAGGCAAATGAAGGCAAGCAGTTCGTGCATTGGTGAAACCAAACGATCATGCAAAACACGCAGGCTAGGTTAGGCAGGTCAACATTTGGCATTTCGTTGGGGTGCAAACGGTAAAAAACTATCAACCACTGAAGTTTATCCCAGTTTAGTCAAAGCAATCACCAAAAGTTGGATTTATTTTCATTTAGGATAAAGGAGCAGTTATCTTTGATCCCAGTGGCGAATGATTGGAGAGTAGAAATGAACTGCAGTAGTTACCCCCATCATCTTATGCATGCTCAGTATCTTGTCAAGCGTGCATTTCAATGTCAGAAATACGTAAGCAACCTCCTTCGATTCAAAGGAATCGGTTTTATTCGAGAGCAACTCGACCTCAATGGAATTTA